GTTGGAGCCTTTGTTTGAGTTTAAAGGAGGTTTAGGCCCACAGGAGACAAGAGAGAAGACAGTGAGACAGCTATTCCTTATATTCCTCTGGATGGGTTTTTGACAAGACAACCCTCAGAGAGTCAAAACGCTCTCTATCAGCTGGCTCACATGGGACATTCTGAGCGGCACAGGCGGTTGCCTAGTTCAGCTGTTGCTCTCATTTTGATGTGAAGCTTGGAAGTGTTCAACCAAGATAAGATAGGTGAGCTAGATATCATCTATAAAAGACGAGGTCTCAAATACAGGAAATGCTGACGTCTCACTAATGAAAGCAAATTAAGGGGGAATTAGAATTTATGACCCAGCTCAGGGCACAACTATACACTCTGTATATGTCACTGAGGCCGGAATAAATACACAGGTGTGTGTTTGCATTGCTGAAGGCATGTCACTAATGCAGTGAGCCAGGTTGATAAATTGCATGTATCAATTGAAGATTAAACTAAGATGAAAATGTTCCCTCAGTCACAGATGCTGCTCCTGATTAAATACTCCCACCAAGTGGATAAAAAAGGATACTGCAACAGTGCCTTCATCTGCAGGCTGCAGATACTGTGAAAGATTCAATCTTGCAATCATTAAATTAAATAGACAATTCAATTAAATGACTGTAGCTAACTGTAAATCGCTTTAATTTAATCAGCAATGAACGAATGAATAAATAAACTTTCATAATATTGAACAACTGATTTAATTTTCACTTAATTTGAAGCAAAATTAATTAGCAAAAACTTAAAATTAAACTGTGCTCCTTTCATAAACTCCTTCTGAGTAACTTAATATGGTAAATATGCAATGATTACACAGGATACTAAGCATTCACTTAAATACATAAATGAATCATATGATGATGACGCCTCAGATCAGGAAACATTTTTCCAATCATCGGTTGTCGTTGCCTTCTCGTTGACTGGAGTGGTACACTGGGTGGTCTTCAGGTGTTGCAGCCGTTTTAAGGATCAATGCATTGTGTATGCTCTTTGGCATACAGTCCTGTCAGCTCAATGCACGCTAGCCATTCTCCTCTGGCATCAATAAGGCGTTTTTGCACAGAGAACTACTGCTTACTAAATATTTTCTTGAGATGATTATGCAGGAACGTCTCAGCAGATCAAAAGTTCTTTTCACCAACAACCATGGCACATTCAGAGTCCCTAATTTGCCTTTGTCCACGTTCTGATGCTGGGTTTGACCTTCAGCAGGTTCTGTTTTCCATGTCTACATGTTTAAAAGCATTGATGTGCTGCAGTGTAATCGACTGATTAGATATTTGTATTAACAAACTTGGCTCATCCCAGTGTCAGCTGAAAAACATATGCAATATATAGTACGTCACATGGTTGCTTGGAAATAGCCTCCAGGCTGGTCCATGCAGACCAGACAGTAGTTTCACCCCTCTGGTCTCGTAATGGGGTTTTTTGGTGGACAATTTATACTAAGTTGACTCATAGAAAACCCATGTAGACACCCCAAAACGATTGTTGGACCTGTAGGCACACACAGTCATGTTTGCTGGCACATTATTAATAATAAGAAAATGCCACTAACAAAACACGTTGTAAAGGACATGAAAACAAAGAAAATGTTTGTGTCACAGAAGGTGTTTCAAACCTCATTAAAATGAAGATTAAACTGAATCTTATTGATGCACTTTTATACATGTTATCCCTGTTGGCCTTCCTGAGCTTGGTTAGAGGTTCTTTTTTAAAATGCTGCACTTAAAAATATTTAAAACCTCCGAAATTGAACTACAACAATCTGAAGAAACAACACCATAACTTCATGTTCTAGACATCTACATTTGGTATTGTGTTGAACTAATATCTTAAGTTTAAAACTCATCTTTACTTTCATGTAACACAAGTGTGTGCCATAAGATGGTGCAGTTAGTCAGTTAGAGAAGTCATTAGGAAAACATCCTTATGTGTAAGCGTGCCTTGGTAAAAGAAAAAGACAGCGTCTCACATCTGGGCACACCCATAATTAAACAATTTTAGTAAATGGCCTGTATTTGTATAGCGCTTTACACATCCATTCACACACATTCACACACTGGTGATGGCAGCTACATTGTAGCCACAGCCACCCTGGGGCGCACTGACAGAGGCGAGGCTGCCGGACACTGGCTGCCACCGGGCCCTCTGACCACCACCAGTAGGCAACAGGTGAAGTGTCTTGCCCAAGGACATAATGACCGAGACTGTCCAAGCCGGGGCTCGAACCGGCAACCTTCTGATTACAAGGCGAACTCCCAACTCTTGAGTCACAAATCGCCCCTAACTGAAAGTTACTTTTAAAATGATGGGTTGTCTTTTCTTCTCGTGATTAACTATATTCCAAAATGTTATTCACACAACCTGTCTGTTAGACTTTTAATTAAATTTTAACTGTTATTTTTTAATTTTTGTTGTAGTGGGCAAATTTGAGAGAGTTTGGAGTCCATGAATTTCATTACCAATAAAGATGTTCCCCTGATAAAAACCAATAAGTCAAATGATCAGCGTTTTGTACGATGTACTGTTTATGTGGTCTTTTATATAAGCATCTTAAACAATTCTTTCCCAGATATCATCCTGAGCGAAAACATATCAAATAACAGTTTTTCTCTCACTTCTTTCTCCATCTGAATGGAAGGTAACAGGTTCACTGCTTGAAAGTCTGATTGCTAAGCGGAATGAATACTCGAAGAACTGCAATAAAACTCTGGTAGCGAGTGCACTCTCAATAACTGGTAAGCCTTCTGCAAGCCTTCATATTTGTCATTTTTTATTACCTTTACAAAATCCTCAAGCATTATTTTTATTGCAGGAAACTACTGCAAAGGAGCGTTTGACATGTTTGTGTGTTGGCCCCACTCTTCTCCTGGAAATGTGTCCGTCCCCTGTCCGTCTTTCTTACCGTGGATCAGTGACGGTAATGTTGTTTTATCCGAAACAAATCACATAGGAGTGCACAAATTTTTAAAAACTGTATTATGCATACTTTGTTCATTAGTCACAAGAATGCAGCAAAAAGCATACGAATTTTACAGTGCATTTAAATGTCAAAATCAAAACAGCTAATTACACAGTCACACTTCAAACGTAAAAAAAAGAAGAAACATAGTCACAGTATTATTGCCTAATGGTGGTCATAATAAACTCTTGGAACTCTGTCCTGAGCTGTAACCCACTGTTACACAATTTAAAATGCTTCTTCTCTTAAATATACACTGAAATAACATTTTTCATGTTTTTGCCAATAGATGTAGTTTAATAAAGAATTCTTGTATTCTTTATTAACCATGGAAAAAAGCACAGGTTGCATTTAGGGCTGTCATAATGCCACAATTTCACTTCACAATGATCGGAGTAAATTTGTCGTTATTTTATGTTTGTGTGTATGTGTGTGTTTAAAGTGCATGTATTTTTTTTGTGCAATCTCAAGTCAGTTTTATTCAAGTTGAATTTTCCATGGAATTATTTTCTCGATAGTAAGACAGGAGGAACTATACATGCAGAAGTAATACAAAATCACCCAGCTTCAAATAACCATTGTTATAACTCAGCACGATTCAATTTTGATATAATTTCATGCTAAATTGTTGAACTGTAAGTGACACAGTCCCTTAGGGGAAAATAAATGTTAGCATAGACTGCTACCCCTCTAATTTTGGACATCAGATGACATTTTTCCAGTATGTCCCTCATATTTAGAAACTTTATGAAAGACTGAATATAAAGATGTGCCCTGAAGTACTTTAACATTTCACATTTCTTAAATCTACCACCAGAAAATGATACAGAATATATCACAATGAAGTTTGAATTCTTGACCTCTTCTTCCAAGGAGAAGAACTGCCTACCCAGAATAAATACAAAACAATAAACGTAAAGTAATTATCTCCCCTCCAAGTCAGCCTTTTTTCTCACTGAGCTGTCAGAGGAAATAATGCCCATCCATGTTTCTTCCATTTACCTCCAGACAATTCTAGGAGCGCACATAGAGAATGCTTGGAAAATGGGAGATGGCGACAAATGGAGAACTCCTCCGAGCCCTGGAGGGATGTCTCAGAGTGTGAGGAGCACCATTACTTTAAAGACAAGGTGAGGGAAAGGGTGTGTATTACATAGTTTCCCTTTAGGTTTTAACGCTGAAAGCGAGGTCTCTATTTTGCAATTTGTTTCTTTCTCTAGGCGTAAAAGTTCTAGAAAGACTATAAGGGATTATTTTCTTGATTGTCCTTAATTAGAATTTTTGTGCTAAAGAAGTGTAGCATTGCCTCCGTCAGCTTTATTGTGTAATTATATCTTTTTCCAGGAGGATGAAATGCTGCGCCATACAGCCCTCAGGCTCATCTCTGTCATTGGCTACTCCTTGTCTTTGGTGTCTCTCATATTAGCCACTCTGCTAATGGGCATGCTAAGGTTTGAAACAATTTTTTAATGTTCAGAAAAATAAAGTTTATAAAGATTTATGACAACTTTGGTATTAACTTTGAACCTTTGGTCATCAGATCTTGTGTATGATTACATGATAACATGTTTTAGATCATTATAGAGTCGAGCTGCCAACTGTAGACCGTAGTTCACATGTATAGAGCTGCCATATTTAGTAAACCTGGCATGCTTGCTTTATGTAAAGGAAACAAAAGCTGGAAGTTTTTTAACAGATCTCCACAGACTTCAGTTGCAATATGGATGCTACATTTTGGCACTACATTTGGATGGTAACTGAAGATATCCTTTAGGCCTAAAAACATCTACAACATTCTGCTTCCACTCGGCAGGATACAGCTTCTATAATTCTGTTATACCACTAGCAAAATATAGGATGGACTTATTAACTTCAACTGCATTGATTTTATGCAAAGGATTACAGGACTTGACAGTTACCCACTAGGAAGAGATATTTACAAGCCTGTGGAGACAAGTTATCATTTTTAATTACATTAAAAGCCACAAACATTTCCATGTACCTGTGAGAACCAAGAGCATTTTTCATTTCCACTTATGTTATGTCATGTGCCCTCAGTAATGCTTTTACAGTTGCACAAGAAGGATCAATGGCTTTTTCAAATTGCTTCTGTATCTTCTTACCAGGAAGCTCCACTGTACCAGGAACTACATCCATATGAATCTGTTTGTGTCATTCATCCTGAGAGCTGCAGCTATCCTTTCTAAGGAGATCATAATGCACATCATGTATTCCAACCTACCAAAGGACGACCCTGGATGGAACACCTACTCGAGCTCTCCGGTACACTAACCATGGTGTTTTTTCTAAAGACTGTTAATAATGTCTTCTTATTTGTTTCTGGTTTTCAGTGGATACAGTTCTGAGACTAATCTACCTGAAACTTACACTTTAACAGATAGTGATAATGTGCAGATTGTCCAAGGTGTGCATGGAGTACTTTGTGGCCTGTAACTACTTCTGGCTTTTGGTGGAGGCCATTTTCCTTCATACGCTGCTCTTCACTGCTGTGCTGACCAAGAGGTGTCTGCTGAAGAAATACATGCTGCTAGGATGGGGTGAGTCAGACATGAACTATTTGTGTGCATGCTTTTATATTAGGAAGTAACCTGAGCCCAAAGCTCACTTTTGTCCAGATAAGTCAAGGACGTGGCCATATTAACATGTTCACACAAGAATGAACAAACAAATGAACATGGTAGCATGGAGAGAGGTTAGCCAACTATGGCTCGTGGATCTGAGAGCAGACCACAGCAACCTCCCTGAACAGGGTCCATAAACCATCACAGTGACAGACATCCAAGAAAGGTTTGCCAGTATGAAGAGTTGGACAGCACCAGGCCCTGACATGGGTCACACTTATGGCTGAAGAAGCTGACTGGGGTTACATGAAGGGACCGATGGAATCTTCGATACCAAACATCCACATTGACGGCGAAATAATGTAGCTCAGTGCTCCAACTTTCGGAAGAAGGGAATGCTCTCATAGCTAGAGATTGATGAGGTACAACACACATGCTACAGCAAGGGGGAGCCAGGATGTCAGGTCAGGGGAGAGATAGCATCACCCCCACCCGAGATTGGGTTCCAAGCCCAAAGTGTGAATGAAGAAGGATTGTTGAGTACGAGAGGAACTGACCTGAAAGACAGAATCATGGCAAAGCTTGAAACGTGGATCCTCCAAGACTACGTGAAGTACCCTCAGAAGACCTACTAGATGATGTGAATGCAGCACGATGGATAATACTTACCGTCACTATTACCGAGACTAACAAGCTGATCTACACTACGGCAGCAGTGATCAGTGAGATGCTTGGCTACAAGTTGAACAGCCACAAGGAGCAATACCCTCCATGGAGAATGCGACTAGAGGCTAAGATCAAGGTAGCACGGGGGGAGCTTAGCCAACTATGGCTCGTGGATCTGAGACAAGACCACATCAACCTCCCAGAACAGGGTCCAGTAACCATTACAGTCACAGATATCCAAGAAAGGGTTGCCAGTATAAAGAACTGGATCAAGGCAGTATATGGTTGAATTAAATGTTAAGTTAGGTATTTCATCATGTTAACTCCACAATGGTGCAGTGGTTAACTAAGGTTCTGGGTTTGAGTCTGCTTGCTCTCTGTGGAGTTAGCATGTTGTCTCTGTGGTTGCATCGGTTCTCTCCATGTGGGTAAAAAATGAATGGGTTTCATCTGTTAGCAGGATTATTTGTCCAAGTCAGAAACATTTCCCGTGGCAGTGAAGGTTTCATGCACTTGTAGTGCTTCAAAGCTGTGAGCGATAGCATCTTCTTGTGTAGTTTGATTCATGTGCACTTAAGTGTGATCTGTTAATCTGAAATGCTCCAGTTTCAACTACAATCTCATGTCATTGGTGTTTCAGGAACTCCGGCCTTGTTTGTGACACCATGGACAGTGGTCAAGATTTTATATGAAAACACAGAGTAAGTCTCTCAATACATGTTTTATATTAACATAATCAGTTTAACAGACTGCTGCTTGACTCGTAAACCCTTTATTCCTTAGATGCTGGTCCATTATTAACAGAGGGTTCTGGTGGATCATAAAGGGCCCGATCACTTTATCAGTGTTAGTAAGTCAAGTTTCTCAACAACCTCTACACACTTTTCAAAGAACCATAGCACAGTCACATTGGTTACAGATATGTCATGTGGCTCCAGTGGTGCTTAATTAATTAGTTACTTTCCCCCTAATTTTCTCCATGTAATGGTTTATGCCTCGTGTTGGCATGTGATATGATGCTATAGTCACAAGTATGAATGATATTAGCCATCTTCTTACTTTGAAGCATTTCCAACACACTTTTAGTCTTTTTTAATGTGCATTTCATTTAAACCTGCTTTTGTTGTATATTGCAGGTTATTTTCTTTATCTTCATTAAGATTCTGATGTTGCTGCTGTCCAAGCTGAAAGCAGATCAGGTGAAATTTACCGACTACAGATACAGGTATTTAAGATTTTACTGCTTCCCTGTCTAAATGTCAGGAAACAAGCTTGACCTTGAGAACTGTTTCCAAAGTCTTATTCTTAAACTGGTACAGCAGACTCCTGGCTTACCATTTAAATGTTAATCACTCACCATGTGCAGCACAAATTCAAATGTCACCCCCACAGCTCTGACCATAAATGTCACACCACGAGGGAAAATCATGCATATAAATGTACGCACAGGTTATATAATGTTTCTTATTCCCTTAGATTTAAAAAGAGCAAAGGATAACTCCACTCTAAATATGCTCATACTCATTCTCAATGATAAATGTATTTGTTTATGGACTTTAGCTTGGCCAGAGCAACACTGGTGCTGATTCCTCTGCTTGGAATCCATGAAGTAGTCTTCACTGTGCTGATAGACGAGTGTGTAGATGGAAGCAGTCGCTATGCTCGGAACTTTGTCAACCTCACCCTCAGCTCATTCCAGGTAACACCCCTAATACAAATTATCCACCTGATGAGAATTTTATTTTGTTCTAAAACTGCATTATAACTGCTATTTGTTGCGTACAATCTTTTTTAGGGGTTCTTGGTAGCTGTTCTGTACTGCTTTGCTAATGGAGAGGTATGTTTTTCTTTTGTCAGTTACAATAAATGCAGTTTTGATATCAGGAAAATTGTATAGTAAGAACTGAAAACTTAACAAAAAAATAAATTTAAAAAGCACAAGTTCTTGTTTTGTTGCCTGAAAGCTTTAAAGCTTCTTTCTTCAGTTTCTGCAGTTTAGCAGACCACATACCTGTTTGTACTTCATAATATAACCCCAGCTTGTAGTACATTAGCCTCTATGGTCTGAGGTTCTCTGAGCTTCTATAGTGACATATCACTGAACAAGGTAATGACTGACAAGATAGTATCCTCATTAAAAAAAATCATGAGGCGCACAACTAATCAAAATAACACCAAAGTGGAGCATGCAAGAACAATTGTTCACAAGGGAAAGTGGTGACCATAAACCGTGAACTACCACAGCCCCCTCGCCCCAACTAATAACACTTGAAACCAACAAATGAGATAATTGGCCGGTCAGAGGAGTGTAACGGATGCATATAAGAAATACATGGGCCATTTTTAAATTATACTAAATGTCTGTGAAGGTCCTCAGTCATCCAGGTCATCGTAGTCTAAGGTGCTTGGAAAAAAAGTGTCTGGACTTCTTTAAGTTTCTTGAAGATGTTTCATCTGAGAAGCTTCTTCAGTTCTAAGAGCAACAGTCCCACAGTTTAAGCCCTATGAGAGTGTCCCCCAACAGGGTCATGGACCCCCTATTGATCCTCTACCTAATCACACAAGGTGTGAAAACAGATGTGGGTCACAATCAGCCGAGGTTTCGGGTGAACCCATTGTGAAACCTAGCCCCACCCTATCATGTGATTTATTGAGGTCAAATGGCCCAAGACACACAAAGATTTGTAGCCCAACTTTGGTTAGAGGTTTCTAAAAAATCTTGTGAATGTGACAGCTCAAGAATTAAGTCGCCTAAGATTTTCAACTTGATGCTATTGGTGCATCTAATAAAAAATGTTGGACAAGATTAAATTGCAGTGACATTGATCTCAAGGCCAGAAATCAGAGGTTACATTTTCTGAAAATCTTGTGATTTTAAAAAAACTTGCGTACAAGGCAGTCAGTAACTTGCAGCAACTCCAAAAAGTATAAATCCGAAGCTACGTGCCATTATGTACATGTATGTAAATATATGCCTAATGGACTGCTATAACTGGGAACCTTTATCTTTAGGTACAAGCTGAACTAAAAAAGCGCTGGCAGCTCTTCTTGTTCACCAACCACTTCAAGGTCAGGACCTGTTTTCGGGGAATGCCCCTGAAGCACCTGTGGAAATGTACTCGAGGACATCATCCGCGGTGCTCTCGGCAAAGTGACTCCTATGACGAGGGCGGCATTTCAACAATGCACCCCCACCTGCTCCAGGTGGCTGTGCACGGCAGAGGCAGAGTACTTGGAAAAGGAGAAGTTAAGGGTCAAGCGCTGAATGGCTATGATGTGACAGGACTTGAGTTCCTCACCAGGAAGAGTCTATCCAGTAGCGATGGTGAGATGACGCTTGGGGAAACCATGGAAGAGATTCTGGAAGAGAGTGAATTCTGATATACATACGTTTTCAAGATTGGATCACCAACCAGAAAACTTGTTTGTTTCAGAGCAGTGGTCCAAATCCTCAGTCCCCAGGCCTTCGCTGACTAAGGGGACACCAAGGTAGACATAACTGCACAATGGGCAGGAAGTTTAAATGTATGGAGAAGAGGTTAACAGACACCCTGTGAGAAAACGTTTGCATTGAGATTGTAATTCGAGCATTCTTCGAAATAAAATAGATTTTTTTTCATTCAGGGTGAATTTTACAAACTTGCAGTATAGAACGTGTTTACTCTAAATTCACCAGAAGACAATTTATCCTGCTGCATTCCCAGCCACTAAGATACACAAGCTTCATCCATGGCTATAAATCCATTAATCAGATTCTTATGTACTTACAGTATTTAGTGAATTCCACACAATTGCAGGCACGTAATGTTCACCTTTGATATTAGTACTCGCACAGTTAAAGTTATCCTATACACAAACAGCAGTGTTAAGCATTTCTCTGTTTTATTTACACAATATAATATGTCAGGCCAGTTATAAATATCCATATGATACATTTGGATTGAATTGTGTGTATAAATACAATGTATTTGTTGTTTTAATGTGAATATGTGCAGAATGTTTTGCAAGCTTTTCATGTTTTCTATTCTTGTGAAGCTCAAAATGTATCAAAGGTGATGTACAGGTACAGTAAAACTATAAGATGATTTGTACATGTAGTGTCACAAAATATGATACTGATCATATATAGAAATAAAACGGCAGTTAAAGTGTAGTTGTGTGCTTCTTCTCTCACTATCTGGGCCTGAGACACTGCGGTTACATTTTCCAAACAGATTCAGTTACACTGAAATGGAATTTCATGCATGTGCTTGAAGAGTCATGTGAAGTGACACAGAGAGTGCACACTCTCATAGTTTCATTTATTGATTTATGTTCATGGACACAAATTTTCCTTTTTCCCGTGTACACTTACATGGTAAAGGGCTGCCATGGAGACTAAAGTCAGTTTGTGAGATATAAACAAAATTATTTTTATCATGTTCACAGACATGAACTGTAGTGCTTCAAGTCTGAAAGAGTCGCACAGTCCACCCCAGGAGTCGGGAGGAGCGGTAGCAGCTTGAATCACACACAGGACCACACTTGGGGTTCTTATACTTGAACTTTATTTAGATTGGAATGAAGTGGTGACTGAAAGTAACTACATAATATGACATCAAAGCAAAGTAACCATAGAAGGATTCAAAACAACAACAAAGAAGTTAAAATTGACAAAAAATGATTTTATGACGGGAGTATTCACGGTGTGCTGCATTCACAAGTCACTGAATTCATATAAGCTACAAACTCACAGCTGACACTTGTTCCTGTGTGACGTTCCTCAAATAAGTTAGAACTGACCTGGTCTTGGCTTTTGTGCTCTGATGTGGTAAGGCACTGATAAAACACACATTCCCAGACACAAACCCAGAGAATAGGTCGATCAGTGTGTTTGAATACCTACTGTATATGTAACAGGTTTGGATTTTTCCCCCTAAATAATAAATACCTTCATTTAGAAACTGCATATTGTGCTTACTTGTGTTATCTTTGTCTAATATTCAAATTTGTTTAATGGTCTCAAACATTTAAGTGTGACCAACATGCAAAAAAAAACAGGGAAAGCAGGAAGGCAGCAAATACTTTGTCAGTGTTTGTACAGTAACATGTAACTTGGCATCAGTGTCTGTGGCCACTCATTGTGAGAACGAAAATTCCCAGCCAACTGTCAGAATTACCCTTTTCCAACACTGTTACTTGCACTACTACCATTACTTGACCAACACCTAGTTTTAACCATAAAGATGGAAGAATAGAAGCTAGTTATTTTGGCTCTTGTCTATTATATTTCTCCCTTCCTTTCTTTTATGTGCCTTTTTTCACTCTTATGTGTATCCATTCAGTCTGAGCCCAGATTTAGGCCTCTTACCACCAATAAATGTTGCCAACATAAGTGGCATTTCTTTTAGTAGTTCTAGCTGTTAATTACATCGCCCTCAGCACAAAATCCAATTTGCACCAAATTTCATACAGTTCTGCTCCAACAGTTATAAAACAGCCAGCACTCAGCATCAGTTCAGCACCATCTACGTTTAAGTGGTTTCAGATCGTTCCTTCCAGCTATAATTTCCATCAGATTTTAATCATAAAGAATGACGGTGCTACACCTGATTTACACCTACTTTCCTATAAATCTTGACACACCTTCACTTTGCCTGTAGCCTCGCCCTCCATGGTGCAACCATTTTCATCAGAGGTTTATCATTCCATAAACTAGCATTACAAACATGTCTGCAGAAATAGCTTTCTGTTCATTCACAAGAACATAAAAAGCAACAACAAAAAAACATTAACAACAGAGAAGGCCCAGCAAGAGCCATGGTATACATACAGGTTACCCAAAATAGTTAAAGCCGGAAAAGTCGTCATGAACTGGGCATAGCAAAGTGACAACTTTGCTATAGGAAGAGGAATCTTGCAGATTTTGTCAACCTGCAAGTCCACAGACCATTAGTCTGACACCAATGACTGACAGTTTGTTCATCTAAATACACCCCAGTACATGTGGGCACAGTTCAGTGCACAAGTCTTGCACCATGGCTAAATCAATAGCCCTGGATGCATAACGCCCCCAACGAAAAAAATTCCCTTCCCTCTGGTAAAGTCTGTGTAGGTTTGACTAGATGGTTTTGGATACCCTGGAAATGCTCTCTAGGCTTCTGGTACAGGTTCATGTGCTTGTAAAATTGCACTCTTCAAGTTTTTGTAAATTAGACCTTGGGAAACAGGGGAAAGCAAGCCCCCTGTGCCTTACTTGCTAACTGTAACTACAACATTAGTAGCAGTTTAGTAGCTTTACGCTCAAACCTAGCAAAGTAAATATCAACATCTGCCTCAGAAAATACAAGAGTCACATTGCTATTTTTAATGAAGTTAAATGGTTATAAACACCCTGGTGCACCAGGAATCATAGCGTCAGAGGCTTCAACCACTTAAGTGCCAACTTTCTCCCTCTTGTCTTTCTGAAGACATGCTAAACACACTCTCAGTCTAGCATCCACCCAGGCAGCTAAGATAGAGCTTTTACCCTCTGATGCTCATTAGCAAACACAATGACTGGTTAGTGGCGTTAAATGACTGGAGAATCCTACAGGTGGCAGTAATGCATCGTTCTGGATGTTAGCTGCTGTTAAGCATCAAAGAAGAAGAACTGCACTCTAAGCTACAAGCACAAAATCAGATTGTTATATGCACACAAATTAAAATGCAACAACACCACAGACTTACTTATCTTCCGGAGCAGGCTTTAGACATCTTTATAGACAATTTCAGCTTGTTGAGAATAGATTCCTTAATGTACATCAGAATTAAAGAGAATATAGTTTGGGATTGCTTTTAATATTACAATATGGCGGTTAATGGGTATACAAAATAGAAAATAGGCCTGGAATGGGAACAAAGAACTGGGATACAGGGCAGAAGGATGATCAACCCCCACCCCCAGGGCAGGAAGCAAGAGTTACTGAGGGTGAGGGGCAGACCATTGCCAATGGACACTACCTTAAAAGGAGATGGGGGTCAGCACCCCTGGCCACTGTACCTGTGTATTTTCATTGTGGGGGTGTTTACTGTAGGAGTAGGTGACCAGAGGTTATAACTGCAACTGCTGTGTGGAATTCTTTAGATCAGCCTTTAGAATAGGACTGCCGTGTGCTGATCTCCAGATGCATCTGTATGGAAAATGGGTCATAAAAGGATTGTGTAAAACATGGAAACATCTTTGCGTGATTTCTACCAAGACAAACAGAATCGGAAAGAGAGGCCGGCGTTGTCCCTTTTCACAAGCTTTACATCATGTTCATTTTTTTCGTCTTGTGAAGGTTTGCCAGTTTAAGGATTAGTCAGGGGTAACTATTAAATATATACGTTATATTTATTGATTTATTGAAAACTCTTTACCACATTTACCATACATACCAATGTTCTGAATTATAGGCGCTTGAAGTACACAAGAGGGGTTGTGTACTTTAAGTGCCTATTAAATATACTAAAGTAATGGTGTAAAAAAAAATCTGGCTGATTTTGAGGGGGTCAGATAGCAGGCCACCACAGGGTGCTGCTCACTTTAAAACATATAAAGCAGAAATGATGGTTCTGAAACTCATAATTTTAAAACCCACTGTAAAGTTTCCATCAGAATAAAACATTACAGCTTCTACAGTAATATTTCAGAGGTCAGGGTTATTGTACTTCCTGTTTCTGTTGATTATCTATTTCCTGGATTAGACAGAGTAAGCAGTAAACAGTGTCTCATTAACCATTGCGGATTAGTTGAAGCAGAGCACGCTCACTACACTGGGATTAGATGCTGGAATTAATCACACAGCTTTAAGGCAATCTGGTTGAGGAACCCATACATAATGATGGTTTTAAGATCACCACAATGCAAAGAAGGAATCACAGGGCTTCAGTGTGGCACTCACATCACAGAGTCATGCAGGACTTATAAAGCGGAAGCAGCTACACACACTAATGACACTGTGGCAAAGTAATCCTACTCCAGAAGGAAACCAAACACAGCATTACACTGCAGTATGTGATTAAAACAGCTTTCCCTATTAAATCAGTCGAAATGAAGCAAACAAATGAAGCATTTAGAAGTTTTCTCAGGGGGATGTTGTTTCACAATTAAACTAAATGACACAGCCAGGAGAAACTGCAAGACCTCTCTAAAATTGTTGTAAGACAAAGTTCTTAATTAATAACAACAGAGACCAAATATTTCTCAGCATTTCCTTCCATAGTTTAGAAGAACATGTAGGTTAGCTTTTGAATTGATTCTTTCTCTCTGTGCCTTTGTGACTTTCCTCTTAGTGCTCTAGTTTGCTTCCAGAGTTCAAAGACATGCATGGTATATTAACTGGTGCATGTGAGAGTGTGAATGCTTGTTTGTCTCACTGTGTTCACCCGAGGGGAGAACAGGACGGATGGATGACTTTATGCTCTTGTCTTTGAGTTATTTTCTAAGCCTGCCGTTCGTAATTCATACACTGTATTCTGTGCATGCTTGGTTGTCAGAGGATCATTGTTTTTTAAATAACTCCCAGACATCTTCTTCCTCTTATTTCTTTGTATCTCAGGTAATGCTGACCGCATCCTATTAGTCATTGCTGGCACCAGACATCAACATGGGGGATGATTACGTGAAATAGGGTTTATTTGTGTTTAAGCTTGTGGCTTTATTGACTTTGCTGACAGTGCTATACTGCTATTGGCAGGATGACTGGATACCAGCAACTAAATGTGGGGGAAAGAGTCTTGTTTGTGTTGTAAAGTGTTATATAACATTAGGTTTCATGTTTTCATGATGTCCATTGCACTTTTTCTATTCAAATAACTGTTGATAATATAATAACTTATTGCAGCAGCTGCTCTATTAATAATATTTACGTATCCGAAAGGATGCACCCATAGATCAGCACCACTCTTTTTTTGTTTCCAGTGACTCACGTGTATTGACTTTTGTAAATCAATCACAATGTGTAAGCAGGATAAGAAGACTATGGATAAAAATGCAGTGTCGTGCATATAAGTTGGACACCTGGTACTACCTGCTGATAAGACCCTCACGTGTAGTCATCTATTTATGTGCATCTACAGCATTAAAATGTGTTATATTGATGAGTATTTATGTATTCATCGTCTTCCAAATTTCACCTGAGGGTTTTGTTGCATATGTAGATCATGTGACTTATAATAACGCCCCTGATTTGCGCCAATGACCTTACAGCTTGAGTCACGGTTTTATACCTTCTCCTTCCGGTTTATCAGCTGATATAAGCCGCCCCCTTTGTGTTTGTGCCGTGACATCATGGCAGGGTCATCTGCTCAGAGTAGCACAGCGGAGCGCATCGGATACATAAACAGAATCGAGAGCTTCAGCGCTTGTCACCGTCTTCACAGGTACATCGCCTCCATCCCTCCTCCGTTAGGGAGGGAGCGGGCTGATAGAGAGTCGTCCCGAAAGCCGGTTTATTTCAAGCACCTTCTTAAAGCACTCACACAGAAGTGCGCCGAATGAAAGTAGCTTTCACCTGGTGGCGCAGGGTTTGCGTTTGACGTGTACTGAAGTGTGTTTTTACAAGAGCGAGTAAAATCCCGTGTGTCGTGGATGGAGGATCGTGGAGAAGTGAAGCGCGATGATTAGGATACTGAATAAGTGTGATGTGGATTGTTTGGAGTAGGGGGAAGTCACTGACACCCGTGTTCTTGCTCTTTAGCGGATTAAAGCGTTTGGTGCTTGCCACATTCTGCTTAAACTCAGAGAAAGATTCGCGTGAATATCCACTCATGCTGTATTTACGTGCAGTGGGCGCTGTCGAAAACGAGCCTATCCAAAGATTAATTGGAGACGACTTAATTAGATCTAGATCACAGGTGTCAAACTCCAGGCCTCGAGGGCCGGTGTCCTGCAGGTTTTAGATGTGTCCAGCTGATTTAAATGGCTAAATTATCTCAACATGTTTTGAAGTTCTACAGAGGCCTGGGAATGAACTAATCATTTCATTCAGGTGTGTTGACCCAGGTTGAGATCTAAAACCTGCAGGACACCAGCCCTCGGGGCCTGGAGTTGCCCACCCCTGCTCTAGATCAACAGTTTATGCTGTGCTAATAAATGTCTTTTACTATATTGTTTGGTGTACAATTTTGTTGTTGTTAAGCAATAACACATTACCTGGTATACACCTACATAATGTGGCAGTTACACTGTTAAAAATCAATACTTTTTGTCATCTCTTTATACTACATGACTGTTAGAAATGCACATTAAAGAGCTTTTGACTGTCTTGGCCAAAAGGCTTTCCTGACTATTCCTTCACATCTCATTCAGCATTCACCTGAGTGATGAGGAGAATAAAGAAGTGTACGGAAAGTGCAACAATCCCAACGGTCACGGACACAACTACAAAGGTTTGTCACACTCCTTCCCTTAAACGAACTATATTAGGAGTGTAATGCTCTTCATTCATCGCTCTCGTTTCTCTCCACAGTGGAGGTAACCGTGCGTGGAAAGGTATCTGCAACATTTATGTGAGGAATCCATGTCACCCTAGTAATAAATAGGAAAACCTGTTTCAGGAACAAGTGTGTTTTCTGTGTATGTTTTCAGATTGATGCTAAAACTGGTATGGTCATGAATCTGACTGACTTGAAGAAATGTATCGAGGTAACTTTTTTCCCTTAATGGAATTTAAAAACTGGCTAATTTTTACTCAAAAAAACAGACTTGTTTTGGACTGCTTAGCTTGATAAAAGCTGTTTTGGATGCAAAGATTAATTTAATTTTTCAGTTTTTATTAACAATTTGATAGTAAATAACTCAATTACTTATGTGCTAATTAAAATGATTATTGTATAGTTTTCTGAGGTTTTAACTGTTGTAAATATTAACCGTTTATAGACAGTTTTTATTATGTTAAGTTGGTTTGTGCACTACTTCTACAACATGCAGACTAAAATTGGCATTTGTTAGTTTTACACAGAACATTTAGGATGACATACATTAGCTTTGTATGGAACAAACTCTGAAGTTTGTACACCAACAGGGCAGTTAGTTACCGTCTATTGAAACATTTTAAATTAAAACCAGTGCTTCCCCTGCAGGAAGTAATCATGATTCCACTGGACCATAAAAACCTGGATAAGGATGTTCCATATTTTACTACTGTTGTCAGGTGTGTACCCTTTCAGGCTATTGTCTGAAAGGCTATTATTCAGGCTATTATTACAGATTTATTTTATTTATTTATTTTTTCCTTCCTCACTGAAACTTCTTTTTCATCTGCCCACGTAGCACAACAGAAAACGTGGCTGTTTACATCTGGGACAACATGGTGAAGGTTCTCCCGCCCGGCCTGCTCCATGAGATCAAGATTCATGAGACCGACAAGAACGTGGTTGTGTATCGAGGAGAGTAGTGAAGCAGTGTTTGGTTTAGTAGCCCTAAAGTGCCATTCCTTTCTACTTATTTTAGGCTAATTGTTTACAGACTGACTTCACTCTGGTCACACGTAGTTTGAAAGTCTTTTAGACGTTGTTCCTTTTGCACAGCAAAGATTTCATAGATACTGCCATGTATATTCTTGTAAACAGAATCCTATTTATGATCTCATCATTTTGAGGAAAATTTGCCGCAAAGGAGAAAACAGAAGCCTGAAAAATGTGGTTAGAAAATAAACTGTAAAACATATTGTAAACTGAATTCAATTAAATAAAAATTGGTTCTCACTGGTGGTTTTTGGGCCTCGTTAGACATGGTTTACACAAGAGGAGGTCTGACCTCCCTCCAGAGGACGGAGAAATTTAATGAACCAAATTCAAAAGTAATACCGGTGAAGCAGACCTGACCAATCAGAAGCATTCTGTGTTTCTTGCTAGTATTAACAAATGGTTAAATTACCAGAACTCTGATATTTACATGTCATTTGGCATGTATATGAAAATAAGTTGTGAACAGCCTAATAAGATGTTCTCAGTCCAACAGTGACATCTAGTGGAATAAAATCATCCCTCTCAGCTCGGTGGATAAGACCTAACTTTTTCAGATGAGTAGAACTTGGATTTTATTTTCAGATGAAGGGTTTGAGTCAAGAGGTACAGAATTCAAGATGTTGGAAATCTGTTTCCACAGTCTGTAAAGTCATCGGTAGCTGTTGGCAGTGGTTGATCTTCTGTTTTGTGAAGTCCAAAGTCAACACAGCAGCTTAGCAGGAGCTTTGAGAGCTCTTCGTGTGTGCATCTGTGTGATACTGAATCCAGCTGAACAAAAGAAATCAGTATCTGGCTGCAATGTTAAAACTACTGCAGGACCAAATGGTTCGCTGACCACATTAATACTGTATGGAACTGGCCAACTGTCTCACCTGACCTCAACCCCATCCCCATATATATGGAGTATTGTCACGACGAAAAGGCCCCAAACAAAAAAATCTAGAAAGAGCTGATGGCAGCTCGCCATACCGAACCACAATGACGCAGTAATTCCTGCTAAAGGAGACTTGACCAAGTACTGAATATTTAAATTTGAATATTTATAAGAAGGTACACATCTGTCATTTTAACCACTTGGTGTCAGTAAAGAGCTGCACATTTCTTAGAGGCTATGGCACATTTGCACCGGGATAATAAGTTTACCACAAAAGGTTGGGGGGTGATATGAGCTCATATTTTCTGCTCCCACAAAACTTACCAAAATGAAAGTGGGCGCTCTCCCTTCATCTCAAACAGCATTATTGTCATAAAACCTGGATTGTCTTTATTTACATACCTGCAAAAGTCACACCAAGTCATCGGTTTCAAGTAACATTTGTGAACTTTTAAGTTGTCTCAGATCAAAGGCATGGAAATTAAAAATGCATATATGCTATATGTTGCTGTGTAATGTTAATGCTTCATATTTGGATGCAGAGAGCTTTCAGATTTGGTTTGTGAATCATAGCTTCAGGCAGCTAAAATATTAACAAGGACGACTTTTTGCTGGTGTGAAAAAGATGACTGTTTGTTCAAACCTGAGTGTCTTGTCTTTTTTAGATCCCATCTGATCCCTGAGGATCAGAGGATTGAGGTGCCGTCAGCTTGTCTGATCTCCAAACTTTATATAGTTGCTATTATGAGTAAGTCATAAATTTAAAGCCATCAGTCAACCTACCAGCAGAAATTGAGACCATACACTGTTTCTTTGATTTGATGTGCTCAGTCTTTTTTAATTTGTGCCTCCAGGATGTCAGGATTCAATAGGACACCACATTTTGGTGACTTTGAGAATATTATTGAGGAGAGTAATAGGTCAGTCTCCTAAATGACCTTTTAAAGCTGATGCTTTTTATTTTTATATTGCTTAAAAATCCAAGAATGTGGAACAATGTGAATTGAGGTTTGTAGCCTTGAAAGAAGTAGTAAAAGTATAGGTGACATTCAGCACTACTGTATCAGGCTTTTTTTTATTTTTTATCCTGTTTACAAAGATGCTGGACTCTAAAACAATTTGAAACAGAAATATGTACAGTTATATGAAATTTACTGAATGTGTATAGGGTCCAGATAAGCCAGGATGTAAATGAAATCTTCTGTGTGGGCTTTCCGACATTTCTGGAAGCATAGTTGCAAAAGAAAGCAGCCTGGTAGTTCAGGCCTTGCAGGAGGAAATATTAGGGTGAATGTTGTGTGTGCTCTGGTTTGTCCTTTTTTCCCCAAAAACATGAAAAGTCAAATGGAAGAAGCAAAAAGGGAGAAAAGAAAGTTAATGTTATAAATATGAACCCATATTAAGTTTTTCTACACATTTTGAAACTCATTAACCATAAATATTTTTTTAAATTTGACAGGCCATAGACTAAAATCTACGGATACGGAAGACGATTAGGCCCACAATTTTTTATTTTTTTCTCCCAGTATTCTGAGAAGAAGAAAAGAAGTTGGATCGACCGTGCGTGCACGGCGCTAATGCGTTAATGAGCTAACCACGCTAACGCGTTGACGCCGTCACCATGCAGCCCCACGCACGGGTTGATCTGCGCTAACTTGCTAACGGAGATTTGCCGCGTTAATGCAGTTATGGCGTTAACGTCATTTTAACAAGATTAACACTGACAGCACTAGTTATGAATACATTTTCTTTTTTTTTTGGTTTGGTCTTGTTGTATTTATCCGTGGCACCTTAAAGGCCGGTCCATGAAAATATTGTCGGACAAGAACCGTGGTGCAAAAAAGGTTGGGGATCGCTGGCCTTCAAAGCAGAGAGAGGTTAAGCTGTAAAGTGACTAAAGGACAGTACAGAATTAATTTCCTCTGATCTGTTGCATCATCTGCTGAGCTACGATCACATTAAACCAGCTTTGTCTCACGAAGAACATCGTACCATAAACACCTCGTCTCAGGTTTTCATATTAAAAAACAGAAGTGACAACGGTGGGTGTACAAAGTAGTTTGACCTTTTAACACTCAACCCTCTATTCAGATACGCTAACTTCAGGCTCCAAAAAGCCAACAACCTTCTATCAGGAACCTTGGTGTAACTTTTGACTCAGCTCTGACTTTGGACACTCATGCAAATTTATTGGTTCGCTCCTGTTTTTATCATTTAAAAAATATTGCTAAGCTGAGTCCTGTTGTTTCACGCTCAGAACTAGAAATGGTCATCTATGCATTTGTTTCATCTCGTTTGGATTATTGCAATTCTTTGTTCACTTGTTTAAGTAAAGCCTCTGTGGATTATTTTCAACTTTAATTTATATATTTTATCTTATTCTCCCAGTTAAATTTACCCTTCATTCTAATTTGTGTTGTACAGTTATTTCATTTTTAACCTTAATTTATATTTTATTCCTTCCTAGTTAAATTTACCCTTTTTAATTTTTCATATTTATTTCCTATCTTATTCATAGCCTTTTCCTTTTTTGTTTTCTTTAGGTCACGAGCACTTGTCCAAGCATTTCACTACATATCGTACTGTGTATGACTGTGTACGTGACAAATAAAATTTGAATTTGAATTTGGATCATTTGCAAGTTGTTCAGGACGCTGCCGCAAAGCTTCTGACCAAATCTTCTAAATCCTCCCACGTTACACCTGCGAATCCAGTTGCACCGGCTCCCCATAAAATTCAGAATCCACTTCAAGATTTTGACTTTGACATTCAGGGCTCTGCATGGACAAGCACCAACCTATATCAGAGATCTTTTACATCAGTACATCCCCAGCAGGTCCCTGAGGTCATGTGATCAGGGCTTGCTTGGTCGTCCAACATACAAGGCTGAAAACGAAAGGCGATAGAGCGTTTGTAGCTGTAGCCCCCAGACTCTGGAGCTCCCTTCCTTTAAGCCTGAGATCTGTGGACTCAGTGGTTTCATTTAAAAAGCAGCTAAAAACCATCTTTTTAAACTTGCTTTTGGTTGATTTCTGCTTTTATGTTTTAGTTTTTCTGTGAAGCACTTTGTGATTTTTGTCTTGAAAGGTGCTATACAAATAAAATTTTACTTTACTTACTTACTTTACATGGTGGGGACCAAAATGCTAATACTACACGATGATCGTACCCATCGACACCAATAGTAACAATCCTTTGTAAACTGACTATCACTATTACTTAATGTTAAAAGCTTTGAATGGAGCCAGGCTAGCTGTATCCTGTGGTTCCTGTGATTTTGTGCACTAAATCTGTTTCCATGTGCAACACACATTTACCCACACAGATTAAATCCAGTGTCCCACTTTAATGGTTTCTAGTCTGATCCCTTTATTGTCTTTGTGAACTGAGACCACAAAATGTGTGAAGTGTCTCTGGATGAACATACACAGTTTAAAACAAGGGGCCTCTTCTTGTTTCCCTACCAGAGTTGTAATCTTTGTGTCAAGATTCAGCCGCCGACTCAAACCTTTAATTAATAAAATTTCATAAACATGTGTCATGCACAGGCAGATGACCTGCTATAAACAAGCCAGAGCAAGACTTTAAGAGCAGAAGTGCCACCTCTTTACTCTGATTCCAGATCAGACTCAGCCTTTTGTACTTCACCTCTTTTCTTGATTCCAGTAAGCACTCGCTGATCTGAGATCTGTCAAAAAGCCTGGAATAAGAACCTGCTTCTTTTATAGCAAGTGAACAAGTGGGTAGATACAGAACAAATCAAACTATAATTACATGTCATAGAGTGCAGCTGGATTACTGCAATTAACAGGTAAAGCTAGTGATTATCCTCCTGTTTCATGGAAAAGTATTTTTTGCTACATTTTAAGGCCCTCTTTGCTTTTCTGTTTAAACAAAAGCAACTGTGGGCCTTATTTATTTATGAACTTAGCCCAAAGTAAGGCAGATGAGTCGGATTACATCCCCTAATTATCTTTGCAAATGTAAATAAAGATACTATAAATGTGCAAAGCTCACAGTGTGTTAGCATGGATTTAACATAATTTTTGGTGCTGTGATGTTCAGGTAGTAGACTTTCACTTGTTTGGCTGTGCATCTTACTACATCTTTCCGAAACAGCTCTTATTTATACTCTTTAATCTCTGCCACAGATTAGCTCAACAACACAGCACAACACAAACAAGTGCTCATCTAAAAGCTTTGGATCAGAACGCTTAGGTAATAGCAAATGGCCTGGTGCTTATGTGGCACTTTTCTACTCTACCTGTGAGACTTTAAGGCACTTTATACAACTTGCCTCGTTCACACAATCACTTTTTTCTGCTGAACTCGATCTGCCGTTCACATGTATGCGTCTCTTGCCCAATGATATTTGGCATGCAGACCGGAGCCGCCAAGGATCAAACCACCAACCTTCCAAATAGTAGATAACCTGCCCAACTTCCTGAGCTACAGCCGCCCTTACAACAGGCTGTCTCACTTCCTCATTATGTAGTGAAGTTATGTAAATCCAAGGCGGATTCCTGCAAACAGTCAGTAGAAGGTTTGTTTTATTTGATAAGTGATATTTAACAATTTAGATCTCAGTGAATGTGATAAATGTGTCGAATGTGTAGCAAACTGTTGTAAAAGAAAAGCTTCTGAAACACAATTCAGCAAAACACATTTCTAACTCAACCACATGCTAATTGTTTACTTGCCCCAATCTCTTTCCTTACCACTAGGAGACTAGGAATCTTGTACATACCTCAAAGATGTTTATCACATTTTGACATTGGAAAACCACGGTTTGTCAAAATGGGACATGAATTAAAACATGTAAAAAGAGTATTTCCTACTCCTTTTTCTATAAAATTGGTTAAAAATAGTTTGTGCTCATCAAATATTTGTGCTTCTTTGTGGAACTTTGCTTGAGAAAAGGTAGCTAGCTAGTTAGCACAATAGTTGCAGAAAAACAATGAGTTGTTGCTTGAGTCATCTTGCATCATCCTGCACATAGAAAAGTCTTTCTTCCTTGTCACGGTAATGTATGATCTTGTTAAATGCTAAATCTGTTTTGACGTTTACTGCCATGATGCCAGGTCTCTCTTGGAAGTGAAATTTGGATAAATGAAGAATTAATAACTAGACAATATAATGCCCACATTGTCATCTTTAAAATTTCTTAATCTCGGATACAGGAAGCCATTTGCCTCATTTGAGAAGCAGCAAACCTACAAGTTGTCAGCTAAAGCGTAATGTATGGTCCCACAAATGTCCCTGTCTGCATATGCAATAGAGACTGACTTAAGACAGAAATAAACAGAGAGGAATTTCCACCCACCGCAAACGTGTTCCCATGCTTTTCTCCAAAATGCAAACTGAACTTGGTTGCTGAACTTGGTCAGTCAAATGCTGGTTGGAAGAATTGAACAGTGAGTCAACTCCGAGGCATTCCCTGGACAGCCAAGAGATATAATCTCACCAGTGTGCTCTGGGTCTACCCTGATAGCCTCTTTATGATAGGATATGGCCTGAACACCTAACCTGACTCTTTTTGATGTGGAGGAATAGCGGCTCTACTCTGAGCCCCCCTGGAATGACTGAACTCTTCATCTCTAAGGGTAGCCAGCCACCCTCAGGGGAAAATACTGTACTATTCACTGAATAAACACATTCAGAACCAATCATTTGGAGCAGGTAAGGTTGGAAGCATGAGTTAGACAAAGTTGAGCACCATATAAACCAAACAAGCTGGAAGATGCTAAAATCTTTAGCTTAGCAGAGCTCAAGAGTTAATGATCATTGTCTTCAGGCTTGTCATTACACATTGTTGTTGGATTCAGTCAGAATATATTAGTATTTCCACTAATATAAATGTAAAAACAAACAGAAATGTGACTTTTTACTCTTTATAAAGGTAAAAAATAAATTCACTGTGACATAAAGTATATTTTTTTGTGAGCACAGGATCAATTTCTTGAGCTTTGCATGCATGCTGACATCCACTTGACTGTGAGTCAAGCCATAAGCCAAACAATAGACAATAAGCCTCTAAAAAATCCCAAGTTTCCCTGCCAGCTTGATTAAAAACTTCGGGGATCTGTTCTTTTCATGCCCACAAGATGAAACAAGATAAATTACCCACTGCTGTCATTTTCCCTGTGTTGCAAGGTAAACATATCATTTTGTGCATGATTTCCTCCTGCCTCCAGCCAATAGGTGCAACAGATCTTTATCCAGCAGATGACACACACACACAAATACACAGGGGGTATTTATTAAGTTATTAAAGTAGTTTAATTAATAAATAAGTAATAATAAAATATATGCATGAATTATGAAGCTATTGCAGGTCCTAGAGACTTCCAACTAGCAGATAAATGAGAATATGAAATGCTAGTGTAAGTTCAGTCATAGCCTGAAGTTAATTACTTGTGTGAGTACCAGAAACTTTTACTTTTAACTTTTTTCCTGCAATAATCCAAAAAATACAAAAAGCATTGTGCATGCATTCCTTACAATGTGACGCTGCTTTTTCATAGTATTGTTACAACTTTAATTTACAACTTCTGGCATGGGTTTTTTCACCATTAAAATTCAGTATTTGTTATTTTAAAAACAGAAAATAATAATGTCACATGCACAACACAGTTTGGTTGCAAATGAGCCACTCTGTAGTATGTGTGTGCTACATTGTTGCGGTAAAAGCTGCCAGTCTGTCTTCTCTTGTTATGCCTTTGTCAGAAGGTGGCGTCGCTTTGAGCAAAGAGGAGAAATGTGTGCATGTGTGGAATCAGGGTTTAGAGCGGCGTGGGGGTGTTCAAGCTTGTTTTTTGTTTGCTTGTCATCTCCCTCCCTTCCTCCCTTCCTCCCTCCCTCCCTCAGGGTCAGGTAGCATGCATAGCACTCTCACACACACTCCCACAGCTTCAAGAGAGCACACACACATTCTTCACTATCTACCCCGAACCTGCTTGGGTGAAGACAGCATGTGCGTCTGTGAGCTGTGAGGATGGAAAAGAGAGTGTGTGTGATCCAGACTGACTTCCACCAGTATAGACCCACCATTGCTCTCCACAACAGACCCCTGGCACATGTAAGAAAAATGCCTCTTTTTCTCTGGCACTACATGTTTTCCTTCTTCACTTAATCTTTGCTTATTCATTTTTTGCAGACTTTGTGTTATTTAATCTCTCCCGGTTAGTTTTCTTTCTGGCACTTTCTTCCACCATGATGCAGGGCTCTTCCTTGTTCCAGGCCCACACCTCTAGAAAAGAGGGTCCTTCATTCAGCAGGGGGCATCAGAGTGTATAGGATCATTTGTGACACATAGAGTATGTGCTTTTCAAGTTTTTTTTAATTTACTTTAAGATTTTCCATGTTTCAGGATTAGTATCATTCTTAAAGTTTAAGCTGTGAGTAGCTAAATGTGTAGTTTTTCCTCTTCTTCTCACAAGCTCACACATACATTTCAGTGGAATGCAAACACAGACAAGCATCAGAAAGCCTGAGGAGACTAAAACAGGGAGTTTCATTTGCTTGCTCACTGATTTAAGGTACTGCTGAAGGATCAATTACAACCACTTAGAAAACATTGGAAGATTTGAAGACTTAAAGCAAAGAGTTTTAAGAGGAGATCAATACAACTCCAAACTACTGAACTGGAGCCAGGTAGCAACTCCATAGTTCCCCTTAAACTCACTGACATCATTCTTTATGGAATTAATTACTAATATTAAATGATATCAATAATGAAAAACAGTAAAACAAAGTGTCTGTGAAGATCATGGTAGTCTATGGAGCTGAGAAAGAAAAGTGTCTGTTTCACCTCTCAGTTTATGGAGAGTCCCAGATTTTTAAGCCCTATTGGGAGTGTCCCTAAGAGGGCCGTGGACCCTATTGATCCCCTGCCTGATCACATGAAAACAGCTGTAGGTCACTATCAGCCAAGTAAAACAAAGTATTAAATGTGACAGCGGGGGCATGTACTGCAGCCTGCCAGCAGGGGAGCATCACAAGATGTTTGACCTCTTTTGGGGAGCTGTCATGTTGTGCACCTTTATATTAATGTATACTATCTATGGCGTGTGTGGATATTAAAAGATAGTCAAATGATATGAAGTAATGTAAGGCTGTACTTTTGATGATGGCTACTGCAGAGTAACTGATTACCATTTTTATGTAACTTGCCCATCACGGATGATATACAACTCTGTGACCTAGACCACGGTGGCTCTTTCAGCTGGCTGGTTCCTGTCTCTCTCAGTAGTTTCACATGTAGCAGCTGGGTCTGTCAGCAAAGACACAAAAAGCTCGGTGGTTTTCTTCTTTGATGATGGTGCATGTGGGTCATGCGGCTCAGACGGGATACTTTGTTTCTTTGTGTGCGTTTCCTCCTAAATTGAAAGGAATCCCACTGATCCTCAGATAATGTTATGTTTAGGTCTACACACTTCAAGGTAACTACAGTCAGTGTTGTCTATAATCCATCCAACTGTTATGCGGTCCAATAATGTAAGGTATTTCAAATCAACCTTATCGGGACAATAACTCACAAAGAAAAGAGCAGCTCTTCAGTGTAACTACATGATGACAGTCATATCACTGATATAATTTATAAGCTGGTATTACTGGACCTGGCCTGCGGTCAGTTGACCACATGAGTGTAAGTGAGCTATGAGGTGCTTCGCTGATCAAAGGCTTGCTGTACCTCCCTCCGCGACCTGGATCCAGAGTTCAGCCAGAGGCCAGGCTTCGCTCTGTGGTCCATTTATCTGGGAGCAATTTGGATGCTGAGGATTGTTTACTGTACAGAAATGCTCTGTTTGCAGCAATAAGCTAACAATTCAAGGACGACACACACCTGGATAAGAAGCACCCAAACACAGTAGATGTGCATTAAGTATCACTGAGCTTTAGAGCTACAGGTTTTTGCTTAAGCTCTGGGTCTGCAGTCACAGTCTGACCTGTATACTGCAGTGGTCAGTAGCACTGCAGATGAAAGAAAGAATAAAGTGCATTCATCAAAGTCTCTCTGAGTAAAACTTAGATATACATCATGTGTTTTATCTCTTGTCAGACACACATGTATAAAGACAGATGTTACTAATCCCAGTCCTCACTGTCTGTTAGGATCTTTTCCATTTACACACTGTGCTATTACCTTTAGCTTACTAGAAAAACTAACTTTAATGATTTTTTCTACTAAATAATGGGCCATTATCACACAAACCTTTACGTTTTATTAACAGAGGAATGATTTAATGTGCACATTCATTGAACAGCCTGAAATTAGTCATTAAGGCTCACTATAGTAAAACAAAAACATATTTAGTGGTTGTTAGTGGCATTGCAGTTTGCCATACTTACAAGTTAACTGGTTCTTAATTATGATCTCACTAGGGACTGTATTACTAGTTTTAACGCATTGCTACTAAGAACCTCCCAGCAATGACTTTTGCTCAGGCACATTTTGAAGACTAACTTTATAATTCCTGAAGTTTTGTTTTGCACCTACATATGCAAATATAAAAGATATTAATTTCTTTTTTTATGGATATTAGTGATGAATGATTAGACTTAAACATTAAAGGTGACGGACATCTCTGCTGAGGTTTTAATATTAAAAAAGATCAAAATGATCTTCAAATGCCGACTTTACCCAAAATTTAGAATTAGTTCTTTTTTTCCCAAAGGCTTGAAAGTAAACCGACTATCACTTGCATCCTTCTGTCCAAGCTCACACTCTGTTAGTCTTTGACTCTTTATGCTTCAATAAGTGACAGGATTTTTCTTTGCATTTAGCACCTGCCTGTGCAAAGGTGTTCAATTAAAACTGAGCATTAACTAAGCAGCTTTCAAAGCTTCAAAGCATGATCCAGAGTTTGCATGATGATTTTATTACTTTTTTCCTGAAATAGTTTGGCTGTTGCCTACTTGAGTAATGTGAATATTAACAGGGATAACACACAGGCATGGTAACTATTGGTGGTAACTACTAAAGAGTAACTATTATGGCTGTCCTTATTTTCTGCTACACATTATATTATTACAAATATTAAACATAGTTACACAACTAGAGGTCAGCACACGTATGCAAGCAATCCCTGTACGCAGACATTTTTTTCTTGGATGTTAATGATGGTAATAAGAACAGTAGCCCCGCCCACCTGCAATCTTCTGTTTAAAAGTAGCAGCCACTCAAAAGAAGGTTTAGTCAGGGAGGGGGTTTGTTTCAGAAGACAAGGAATAAGTTAAATAAGATTATTTTTGAACTGTGAATCAATATAAAAGTGGAAATGGATTAAGAATAGAACAACAGAATAAGTCCCCTTTTCATATTCATAGTCCTCGGTTGACTTCAAAGTATATTCAGGGAGTGCAAACAATTTTTACAGCACTACGAATCAGATGGACACTTGGAAAGTTTTTTTTCTGAGACAAGAGGTGCAGAAACACCTCAGAGCTTCAAGTCAAAACATGACACCTTTGCTCAAGTGTAATCCCCGGCCTTCACACAAAGCGGGAATGCGCTGCAATAAAGAGAGTACTTTATTTGTGCAATATCAACACTGGTGCTGGCATAAGGGGTTAATCCCTGTGATCATGCTAAAGGTGAACCATTGATGTGTCATATTTGTCTTCCTCTTCTTTTTCTGGCATCGGCGTGCAGATTGAAGCTAAGTGAGACATTAAGTCCCGCACTGACAGGTGAAGGTATTGTGTGTTTAATCTGACTACAGGCAAAAGGAAGTTCAGGTGTGTCAGGCGATACACATGTGCTAAACCGTGTTTGGACAACGTGGTAATTATCGGCACACACTTTAAGAAAGATGATAATGCCCTTACTACTTTCCCTGCTGACGAACTGTACAGTTTGTCAGGCATGAGCAGTGAACTGGCTGTCAGATCTCTGACAGCCCAACTAATGACAGCTCTTTTTCAGATACCAGCACTCAAGCAGCAACAGGTTTTTGTGCATGTGTGTGTGTGTGTGTGTGTG